CTATCAAACTATGCTCAAGAAAGCTGATGTGCTAATTTTATTTATTAGGGGAGACGGAGCAGCGGCTCCTCCTCGTCGTATCCCAACTTCTTTCAACTCGTTTGATTATAGTCGGACAACTGAACGCATATGTCTAAACATGCAGTTATTTTACTAAATAACTAGCTTTCCGCCCGCGGCTTCGCCCGCGTGGAATTTTGTCTGTCACAGAAAAACTTTATCACGCGCATCCCTGTTTCAAAAACCGGGACAAAAACTATCCTATGTCCTTTCTCGGGACTCAAACTATCTCTATACCAAATTTCATCAAAATCGGTTCAGCGGTTTAAGCGTGAAAGCAGACAGACAGAGTTACTTTCGCATTTATAATACACTCGACATCAAATAAATCGCACCTCCCGCGACAAGCATTTTCAAACGTATGCTTCCCCACTTCCCACCAATATTGGTACCATTTGTAAGCCTAATTCTAACCTTAATTTCATTAAAGGTGTACGGTGCGTCACCGTCACAATTGCAAACATCAGCAATATATTGCTATGCGCGGCTGACCCAATTTTATATTTTATGTTTTACATTATTTTAAGTTTAGTGTTCGATTTAGCAGCCTAACAAGTGGCCGCGACTCTCGTTAATCAATTATTGTACCTTTATACGTAATCAAGTAATAAATATCTACATTCAACAAGGAGTTTGAATCATTCTCTTCATAATCAACATAATCAAGAAAGGTGTATGGCTAGCAATAGACCATACATCTTTATTCGAGCCGGATTTATCTACAATCAAGAAAAGTCAGTGCTTTGTGAATCTCGCGTACGGAGCGAATCGGTCCATTTGGCCTCCCGGAAGAGGGTCTCACCAACTGGATTGAGAAGGCGCATAATCTGTACAGAGTTCGCAAGGACATTGGGGACTAGTACCTAAACAAGAAATCAAGAATCAAGCAAATATATCAATCAAGAAACAAGTAAGCATTCATCAAACAANGACCATACATCTTTATTTGAGCCGGATCTATCTACAATCAAGAAAACTCAGTGCTTTGTGAATCTCGCGTACGGAGCGAATCGGTCCATTTGGCCTCCCGGAAGAGGGTCTCACCAACTGGATTGAGAAGGCGCATAATCTGTACAGAGTTCGCAAGGACATTGGGGACTAGTACCTAAACAAGAAATCAAGAATCAAGCAAATTCATCAAACAAGTAAGAAATCAAGAAACAAGTAAGAAATCAAGAAATAAGTAAGCATTCATCAAACAAGCAAGCAATCAAGAAACAAGTAAGAAATCAAGAAACAAGTAAGCATTCATCAAACAAGTAAGAAATCAAGAAACAAGTAAGAAATAAAGAAACAAGCAAGCATTCATCAAACACTCGAACACTCATCAAAAAGCAAGTAAATCAGGTACAAATACAATTTATAGCAAGCAATTTCAATCAATTTCAAGCAATAATCAAGCATGTCTTCAATGGAAGATATTTTAACAAACAAGAAACATCAGATCATGGGTGACTTACCACACGCTAGAAGCAACCCATCCCGCCCATTTTATCACACCGGCGTGGACTTCACGGGTCACATCATGATAAAGAGCAGCAAAGGGCGCGGCATCNAATTTCAAGAAAGACGGACGTGAAAGAAAAACAGCAGATTATATTAAACGCAAAATATCTACTTTAGACAATTACTGGGTAGAATTCAACAACAATCACATACAGTTGTGGGCGTGTCAAGACAAGTCTCATGCCTACTTCACCGAAAACAAGTATGAACATATGAAGTCGACGTATGAAAACATCAAAACAGCTCTGCAAATGTACGAGCCAATGACAGAATCCAGGCCGCCGACTCCCCTACTCAAACCTGCAACACCATTAGCAGCACCATCGACATCCACGGCTCCAGCTACACCCAAGGAGTCGCGTGGTACTAACAGCAAAACAGAAGACTTACTGAAAAAGCAAGCAAGTAACTTCAGAGCGTTTCATAGAACGACATCCAATATCAACATCGATTCTATAACTGAGAAATGGGAGTTGGAAGACCTGCTTAATTCTCTGCAATCACGCTGGTCAGCCATTGACAGTCTCCACTGGGAGATTGATAGCGAAACTCAAGGCACCAGTAACAACGAATACGATAGAGCATTTTCATCATACGAGCAAATGTATAACANCAAGAATACGAGATACTTCAATCTACTCTTCATCAAAACAACAGTCATTTTATGCAAGAAATAACAGAGATGAACATTCAATGGCATTTTAACGCCCCTTCCTGGCCTTCAGCAGGCGGCCTCTGGGAGGCCGCAGTAAAGAGCTTAAAATACCACCTCAAACGCGTCGTCGGCGAACAAAAACTGACGTACGAAGAATTTTCGACCGTATTATCACAGCTAGAAGGGTGTTTAAACGCAAGACCATTGTGTGCCATCAGTGAAGATCCAGAAGATCTGGATTACCTAACTCCATCGCACTTCCTATCAAGTGGACCTGTGCTAACATTATTTGAAACAGAGCAAGATCTCAGAACAAGATGGTATCTATGTCAAAAAATATATAACGACATCTGGAAGAGATGGCGTTCAGAGTACTTAACTCAATTAACTACCAGAGGCAAGTGGAAGCAAAATCAAGAAAACCTCAAAATCAATGACCTGGTAATCATACACGACGACAACTTGCCATCGGGACGGTGGGCCATGGGGCGCGTCGTTGAACTCCACCCTGGCCCCGATGGACACGTGCGAGTAGTTTCATTAAAAACCAAGAACGGTTACCTTAGACGTCCGGTAGTAAAATTATCTTTACTGCCTATCAATCAGAACTCAAATCAAGACAGCAAACAAGTTAATACAGCAAGTGTATCTCCAATACATGAAGAAAACAAGAAACGCGTGAAAAACATTGGTTTCAACTTTAAATCAATAGTATTGGCTCTACTTTATTTTATGAGCATACTTACAACAACATCATGCACCTTCGTAAACACACCGCTGAAACAAAACCAAGGAATTTATTTCGATAAAATTTCGGATATGCAAGTAATAAGAGACGACTGGACTGTAGTGGTTTATTACAAGATGGAACCATACTGGCAAGGGATGAAGACATTCGAAAATTACTTCAATTACTTGGAAGATACATGCAAGAAACTGAACGAAGAAGTGCANTCCACTCCACAGATGGATATACCTACCTTCAGTGGAAATTACCATCAGTGGACCTCCTTCAAGGACTTGCTCGTTGAAACAATACACAACAACCCCTCGTTATCGAATGCCCAGAAAATGCAGTTCCTCAAGGGCAAGGTGCGAGGAGAAGCAGACAGGCTGATACAACATCTACCAATTAGTTCCGACAACTACAATATATGCTGGGAAATACTCAACCATCGATACAATAACAAGAAACTTATCTTCACTTCATACATAAACAACTTGCTATCAATTCCTGCCGTACAGCAACAGTCCTTACACCAAATCAAGCGATCAAAGCAATCAAGCGCCTTCACGACACCACACTGGAAACCCTCAATGCCATAAAAAACCTAGGCATTGATATCAGCACATGGGATCCGTTGCTAGTACATCTACTTTCACAAAAACTGGATAATGAATCATTCACCGACTACAATGAATGTCTGGAACAACCACGTGAACTACCAACGATGTCAGATTTTTTGAACTTCCTGGAATGCAAGTTTACAACAATGGAGTCCTCACGTAGAAAACAAGATTCACAAACGACAAGGCCTTTAACACATCAAGCTTCGCCAAAGCCAAATAAAACAAGATTTCAAGTATACTCAAACAATAACAACATGGCAGAACAAAACACAAACAACAATCAACTAAGAACTTACAAGTGTTCGTTATGCAATTACAACAATCATGGAATTTATTTTTGTGAAAAATTCTTATCAATGTCGCCACAACAAAGACTCAATACAGCATCAAGACTTAAGTTATGCTTCAATTGCCTAATAAAGCACCAAGGAAACTGTAGAGTGCAAAAACGATGCCGAGAATGCCAAGGTCAACATAACACAGTATTACACGAAGCCTTTGCATCACCAAATAACACAGCAAGACCAAGTACATCAAGAATGGTCAACCACAGCAACTCCTCCAGGACCACTGTTCCCATTCAACAACATGAGTCACCAGAAGTACTGTTGGCAACTGCGATCGTACAAGTTCAAGCCGCCAATGGTAACTACTACAAACTACGAGCACTACTCGACCAAGGATCGCAAACCTCAATTATCACCGAGAAAGCAGCTCAAATTTTATCATTACCACGACGTCAATGTACTGGAGTCATAACTGGAATCGGAGCCAAGGAAAATAACTGCAAGGGAATAATAAACATAACTATCAAGTCAAATAACTGCGAATATACATTACAAACCGACGTGCTTATTATGAAAACGCTAATTAACAACCTGCCAAGTAACACATTATCGAAACCATCATGGGAGTTCCTGGAAAACATACAACTAGCAGACCCTGAGTTCTACAAAAGTCGCCCCGTCGACCTACTTTTGGGGGCGGAGGTGTACTCTAACATCATTTTGGATGGCATCTGTCGAGAAAACAATCAAACACCAATAGCGCAACAAACGCGATTTGGTTGGATATTAAGCGGAAGCGCCAATACAACTACATTACAATGCAACGTCTTATTAAACAACATTNCACAGATGTATCATACCACGATGTACATCAATACGCTCTAATATACATCATCATCGGCGCCGCAGTCATCACGGCAGCGTGGCTGGCGTGGCGGCGAGTGCGACGCGCGGCGACTGTCGCGCCCCCGGAGGAGCGCACTACCGTGCGCCTCTCATCCATTCGAAGCAACTCAAGTGAAGACGAAGACCACAAGAACAAGACTAACAAGATACATAGTGTTAATACGATACATAATGTTAATAAGTCTACGTCGCCCATAGCAACTAGTAGTGCATCTCTATTTTCATAAACTTTACTTTCATCCCGCCTCCATCTCTGGTGGCCCGGAACATGTACGGTGCGTCACCGTACAATTGCAAACATCAGCAATATATTGCTATGCGCGGCTGACCCAATTTTATATTTTATGTTTTACATTATTTTAAGTTTAGTGTTCGATTTAGCAGCCTAACAAGTGGCCGCGACTCTCGTTAATCAATTATTGTACCTTTATACGTAATCAAGTAATAAATATCTACATTCAACAAGGAGTTTGAATCATTCTCTTCATAATCAACATAATCAAGAAAGGTGTATAGCTAGCAATAGACCATACATAGAATAACCGCTCATGTTCCCCAGTCGATGAAGCACCTGATGTCATGCCCTGAGTGCCCAAGCAACTGCACTCAGGAGGATTCGATGAGTGCTACTGACCACGCCACTCTTGTGGCGGAGTTTTGGGCTGACACTGTGTAGGTTTGTTGTCGACACGAAAAGAAGAAGACCGCTGACGTCACCTTGAGGCAGGCGGTGCGCAGCGCGTCGTCGCCGGCGCGCGAGGCGAGGTGCGGGTCGGCGCCGTGCTCCAGCAGCAGGCGCGCCGTCTCCACGCGGTGCTCCTGGATGGCGTAGTGAAGCGCCGTCTTGTGCTGCATGTCCAGCGCGTCCACCTGCCCGCACCGACCAACATTCGCATTGCACTGAGGCTGACTTGCAACACCTTACTTTAACTATCCATAACCAGTGGTTTTTATGTGGAATTTGATAGACTTTTGACGTGTGTTATAGCTGAAGTAAGATGATGCAGCCCAGGTTTAAGGCCTCAGCCTCGAATTCAGCGGGCAGCGGCACGGGAGCGGGGCAGGCAACGCAGACCCGTTCTCGAAACAAGCGAGCAGCTCGCGCGGCGCTTTAGCGGCGAAGTGTTGTGTTCAGGGTTGTGTTGTCGAGATATTTGTTTTTATTCGCAAACGAAGTGTCTGAACAACGGCGTCAATTTTATTTCGATTCAAATTTATTCCTAACGCTCGATTTATTGAGGTCAAAAGAAGGAGTGCGCTGCCCGCTCCCGCGCCGCTGCCCGCTCCCGCGCCGCTGTTTTCGAGAACCGGTCTATTTGACTTACTATACGCATAAGATCCTGCCGCTGCCCGCTAAATTCGAGGCTGAGGCCTAAAAAGCGCGCTTAAACGTGACACATCAAGTATGTATTACAGCAGAACATTGAAAATGATAAGTATTTTCAGCACTTCACCTGGTGGCACTCAAAACAATGATGATAACAAAATATACACTTTCAAAAATGGTGTTAAACAGACAGAGACTCAAGAGATGGCCTGACCTGCGCGCCGTGCTCGAGCAGGAAGGTGCAGAGGCGCACGGACTGCACGGAGTTGATGAGGCAGGTGCCGCCGTTGTGGTTGGGGCGGTGGATGTCGGCGCCGCGCTGCACCAGGAAGCGCACCACGTCCAGGTGCGTCATGAAGCAGGCCGAGCGCACGGGCGTGGAGCCGCTGTCGCTGGGCGCGTCCACGCGCGCGCCCGCGTCCGCCANCCTATCAATCAGAACTCAAATCAAGACAGCAAACAAGTTAATACAGCAAGTGTATCTCCAATACATGAAGAAAACAAGAAACGCGTGAAAAACATTGGTTTCAACTTTAAATCAATAGTATTGGCTCTACTTTATTTTATGAGCATACTTACAACAGCATCATGCACCTTCGTAAACACACCGCTGAAACAAAACCAAGGAATTTATTTCGATAAAATTTCGGATATGCAAGTAATAAGAGACGACTGGACTGTAGTGGTTTATTACAAGATGGAACCATACTGGCAAGGGATGAAGACATTCGAAAATTACTTCAATTACTTGGAAGATACATGCAAGAAACTGAACGAAGAAGTGCATTGTGACGTCATTCTATGGCAGCTACGTCACAGCTACGACGAACTGCAACACTATAATACGATACTGATGACGCAACACACGCGCACACGCTCGCGCAGGCGACGCGGTCTAATCAACGCAGTGGGCTCAGTGGCTAATACACTGTTTGGAGTCCTAGATGAGAAGTTTGCCGAGCAGTATCAGAAAGATATTACTCTCATACATGATAATGAACAACATTTGGCATCACTGTGGCGAAATCAAACTTCTATCGTCGAAGCCGAATATAATTTACTGAAAAGAAGCGAGGAAGCCATCAATAAGCAACACAAATTAGTAAACAAACACCTAATTAAAATAGAAAACGCCGTGAACATACTTAATTCAGAGGTGTTCAACATTTCACAAGCAAATTACATGACGTTGACCGCTGTAGCTGCAAGTAACATGATACACGAACTGCGAAATATGCAAGAAACCCTGCTGAATACGGTCACCGACGTTTATCATGGAAGATTCAACTTCCATCTCTTATCACCTGAACAACTTAGAAACGAGCTAAGTGTCATAGCAAGTCAGATCTCAAGTGAACTAACTCTGCCCATAGATAATATACATGTTAGTTTACAAAACATATACCATTTATTGAATATCAAGGCCAGAATGTGCGAAGATTACCTACTGTTTGAGATAAAAGTACCTTTAGTCGGCAGAGATTCCTTCGAAATATTTCATCTCATTCCCGTACCAACTGCAACAAATCATAGCAAGATGATAGACACGATCCCAATATCAGAATTCTTGGCCATCAACTTAGCTAAAGATGCTTATATCACGATGATAAAAGAAGACATCTCCTCATGTCATCAGCAAGAGCAGACTTATTTATGTCAACTCAAGAAACCTGTATATCACCTCAAGCAAGAAGAAAGTCTTTGTGAATTAGACATCAATAAGAAACAATGCAAAACAGTTGTTCACCCCTGCATCAATAAGTGGGTCGAATTAAACACAATAAACAAGTACTTGTACTTTTGTTGTGAGAATAAATAACATTCCATCTCTTTCTCACATTATCTGTCATCTCGCTTGCACATCAATTACTCTTCCACACACTTCTGGAATATTCGAGAGAAAAAGAAACGGGACGGCAACATCGGACCTCTCGCTTCGAACATTCCAGAACTATGGTCCAGAACATGAGAGACAGAGACAGGAATATCGGGAGAGAAAGGGATGAATATAGCCCGGGGCCCTATAAATACGGAGCGAGGCGCTCCGGGAGACAAGTTTATTTAAAGTTGTTGTTTTGTTCAGTTCAGAGAACAAGTGCTCCAAGCAACAAGTGATCTGAAGAAGTAAGAACTGAGAAAAGGAAGCGAATAATAAACGCGAGAAGTCTCAGCAAGTGAAATAGTGGTTTTATTCCTGCAAGTAGCACCTACTACGCCTGACATAGTAAGGGCAAGCTCTCAACGGCAGTCATCATCGTCCGGTCAGCGCTCTCGAACACACACAAACGCATACAGTCCACTGCAGTCCACCACATTTTCCTGGTCCTTCGAGCCGGATCACCACATTTATCCATTTAGGGAACCCCTCAAAACCGATGAAAAGTCGTACTTCCCAGTATCATTGTAATCTATTATAAAGGAGGCTGACAATAGTGACTGAGTTTCTCGCGCTGCTTCTTCTCAACACTGGTCCATTTATTATCCCGAAGCAGTGGTAGGGTTAGTATTGGGACATGTAAAAGTGCTTTTTAAAAAGCCTATTTGCAAAAATAAATGAGTTTTATGAGTTTTATTTCAATCTCTGAAGAAGTATAGAATGTACTAGAGCCCTAACCGTCAAGTTATCCAAAGAGGGAAGACACGGAAGCCAGCCAGTTAGTTTCCAGTCGGGTGCGCGTCTGTCACGCTTGAGGTGCCCCTTACGTATTAGATCGGCCACGATCACATTAGCATGCAGTGATTCTTAGGTTTATGGGCGCTTTGTTATGTTTTTAAAGTCGGGGGCTTTCGTCACCCATGAGAAATCATGTTGCTATAGTGGACTGACCACTAGTTTAATTCTATCTAATGCTATTCGTGTGCAGAAACCTGAGCACGAGTGACTTTCGTGACTATACGAGGCTCTCACAATTGTATTCCTTAGACGCGCTCTTTTGTTTTTCATACAAAATAAACGATTACCATAGCGAAACGATATTTGTTCGTCTATCCGAGCTCTGTTAGGATCATAGTGGCATGCAGTGCATAAGCAATGCAGTGTCTTGACAAATTATTAAAAAAAAACTTCCTCGCACGCTTAAAAAACAACTTAACCTCAGCATTGCACCCAAATAAATTTATTAATGAAATGTAAACATTTTTGAATTTTGAAACGGAGCCGCGAGTTATTGTCCTAAAATTGGACATTCGTCAGCGGCTCGTCGTAGAAATTTGACATAGATCAGCTTCACTTGCTCTTGCAAGCACTAAAGCATTAATCTTCTATTTATTTATCGGCAGACAGTGGTGAGTGAGTTTGTTGCGGCGCTTCTTCTCAGCACTTGCCAAATGTTGGTCTCGAAGCGCTGGTAGGGTAAATAGATTATGAGACATGTAGAGGCTCCATAAGAGCAAAATATTTGACGATTTGTAAGTACTATTTCATAGTCTATACAAATAAAGAAATTTTGACTTTCACTTTGACTTTGACAATCAAGCTTCATGTGGTCGCAATACAGTGCCCCACAGAGCTCACAATATTCCATCGTAACGATAGTTTAACTACTGATAACGAAGCTAATGAGTGTACACCGTTTATGACATTATTTCCCCATCTAGCGATGTAGCCATACAAAAACTCGCACGTTCCAGATAAAGTGGGTAGAACAGATATATCGCTGGGTTCCTGTAAGGGTCGCCATGGTTTACATTTGATTGAGGACAATCTTAAGACAGTAGGACAGTTTTATACGCTGCTTCTTCCCAGCACTGGCCCGAAGTAGTGGTAGGGTTAATACTGGAACATGTAAAAGGTGCTTTTTAAAAGACTTCTGGCAAACATAAAGTGGGTTTTAGGAGTTTTCATGAGTTAGCTTTACATTGGCAACAGAAAAAGGTCAACAATATTAGTTTTTTTTGTGGAAACTACTAAACTGTTTTCGACTTCTGTCTGCAGGTACCTTATTTGAATAAAATTCTACTTATACTTAAAAAATACAAAAGCTTTATTTATAAATTGTCCTGCAACCAAAAGGCGGTTCAACTCCCGGTTCAGTCCTCTTTTTACCCGACTGCGCCAGAAGGAGGGTTATATTTTTAGATGAAGTTATCAGTCTCAAAAAGGCAGTTTAAAAATGAGATGTCCTACAAAATCTTGAAAGATGGCCACCGATGGTCAGAAGCGGCACGCCACGCGCCGCGGAGCGTGTCGTGGCGTAACTGCGGACTTTTGAGGTGAAGTAATGCTTACATACGAACACACCACCACTTTTGGTACAGTTGGTAGCAGAAAATGGTTATCTGTGCACCTAAAGTGCGTCTAAAAGTTAATAAAGTTAGACTTCGGTCTGCTAAAGCTAAAGGACACTTAGTCTTTTAGCGCATTTCGTTGCGGGTCCAATGACAGTTTAACTTTCCCCCGGGACAAACTTGACCTTCACTGGTTGGGTTTTTATTGACGGTCAAGCTGTAGATCCTGACTACACAGGAGTTGCAGCGGTGGGAACGAGAGGTGGGAATTCAAAATAAATAGCCCCGGTAGGCATCAGTGCTGGTTCTATCTATGAGAAAACCGTTGCTCTTGACAATTATATTAATTCTTCAATAGATATTATGTATTTCATAACCTTCCATCATCAGACTTCCACTACTAGGTAGGCTTCCTCTAATATACGACAGACATCTATTTTTTTTAAGGACAATAACTACTTATGTCAACGTATCTTGTCAGATTTTAATCCTATTGTGAATTCCAAAAAGTCTTGCTTTTATGCGATTGACTGTACCTGGCTGTAGGTACAAGAATAATTACAATGAATTCAAGAATACATTTCAGCGTTCAAGGTGAAGCAACAAGTTTACTGGATTAGTAAGAATTTTGAAAAGCTGTAGCATGTCCAAATCTAATGCTATAATAATACGTAACGCGTTGCATTTTAAAGGTTTAGAAATGTTTAAAACACACGTGTAAGATTTCAGGTGATCGCATAAATTGATAAAGTAGGTTTATCCAGAGAAATAAGAAAGGGTTCCATTCTAAACACTTCTTTCGAGTTGTTTTAAAGTATCTATAGTTGGTAGTAGTAAATAAATCTCGTATAGAGCTCTAGAAATCCCCATTCTCACTGTATATTTAGTGAGAGGCTACTAAACGAGCAATATGCAAACATCAGGCCCCCAACCCGTCTGACCTCTGGCAAAAGACTTCATGATTCACTGACTATGATGAGAGCTCTATGCCAAAACAGAGCATTGTCATCCGTCATCCATAATTACTCAGTAGAAAATCAGTTCAGACGAACGCTGGGAAGTATGTCAAATTCAAGATAAAAAGACGTGACTACCTACCGATTGACATCAGTACGGATAAAGTCATATTCTTCTTCTTAGTCGTTACGCTCTTGGCAGAGCGGTCGTGGTCACGTTGAGGCGTTGTTTACATCGGTTGTAGAGGCGGATACAACTCTCCGCACGATCTCCCTCCATCTCTCTCTATTGGCAGACTTTCTGGTGCAGTCACATAAGCCGTCTCCTACTGCTGCTTTCACTTGGTCAGTCCAGCGCATTGGTGACCTGCCACGCGATCGGGTTCCTTCGACTTTGCCCTGGACGACCAGTCGTTCTATGGAGTTGTCATCCCGCCTCGAGACATGTCCGAAGTATTGCAGTATGCGCGACTGTACTACGGTTGATAAACGCTGAGTGACACCGAGCTCCTGGAGTATGGACACATTGGTACGGAACTCTGTCCATGATATCCCGAGCATCTTTCTCCAGCACCACATCTCTAGGGCATCTATCTTCCTCTTTTCCAAGTCGCGTACTGTCCATGTCTCTGCTGCGTAAAGAAAGATGGGGAATACAAGCGCTCGCACAAGTCTAACTTTGGTGGCTTTGGTAATGTTGCGATTTCTCCATAACTTCCTCATAAAAGTCATATTACGAATTTATAATAAGTTACATCAAAAATGACTAGCAAGAATGGTAGTCTAAAAGATGACAGATCATTCAATCTAAGGGACATAAAACTCTTCAAACGGATACATCATTAAAATTATGCAAGTGCCTCTAGAAAGGAAGTTTAGTTAAGTTGTTAGGCCGAAATATAACACAATCGCTTGCGCAAGGCCTAAATCGGTAATCATGTGTTAGGCTGGGGACACACGAGTACACGCAACTTTGAATAAGATGATAGGTATTATTGCATGCGGGAACCTCGGTTATCTAAAAGATGTTGGAAAGTTTCTATCTGCCAATTTGTTTTTGCGAAGTTGTGGAAAGATCGTTTTGGGTCATTATGACTGCGTCTATAATACTTGTTAAGAATTATGAATTTATTTTCAAAATAACTGGGTCTATGAACTAAATACTAGTAGAAGATACCCTGAAATCAGCTATACAGAAAATATACTTTCAGACTTATTTTAAAATAATATTTCCCTGCGACTGGTCCTCGTCAAATTCAAAGTAGGCCAAATTCAAGCCATTGTGCTTTTTCTAATATTAATTAAGCTATACATTCTAAAGTTGAGAGTGTGATCTAAGCTTTACTTGCTGCATAATCCAATTATTACAATAAATAATTACGCGCACTCACAAAATCGCATGCCTCTAATGATTTCAAAGTAACTTGTTGTTATTGTGACACACTTAAGTGTTTTATGATAGTTATAAAAGCACCTAACATAGATATATTTATTATGAGAGTTTATAATGACTTCATAGGTGCTGGATCAACTTGATTGTGAGATAATAAATAAAATAAATAAATATCCTTAGACATTTTACACTGCGCTTCTAGTCCCAAACTAAGCAAAGCTTGTACTATGGGTACTAGACAAC